TGTGTGTGTGTGTGTGTGTGTGTGTGTTTGAGCGCGTGCGTGTGCACGCGTGTGTGTGCGCGTATGTGTGTGTGTATGTGTGTGTGTGTGTGTGTGTGTGTGTGCGTGTGTGTGCGTGTATGTGTGTTGGGAGAGGAGAGGAGGAGGAAGCGGCTAATAAAATAATAATTATACGTTCAGACTGTACACCTGCGGTCACCTGAGAGACGCGCGCGCATCGCATAACGCACCAGTCAGGTCGATAGAGGGTCATCTAAGAAGCGCGTGTGTGTACGTGATACTTCACGCACCACTGATGTTGAGTAGCGGTAACAGCTCATCCAGCTGTGCTGTGCTGCTCACATAATTTATTTATTTAATCTAGAATCTACATGAGATTTTAGCGGCGCACATTGTAACGAAAACAAATTGTTCAAGGCTGCGAACATAGACTTGTGAGCTGCGAACGGCCAAGAGTTTTCCTCTAGACTCAAGTAGTCTACTGAACGGACACAAGACCGTGATATTCACGAGGTAGGCCCTAGTTTGAATAACTTTTCATTCAGCAACTGCAGAATGTAGTAGGTTTTTTTTCATTAGTTTTTGTTGGGTTTTGCGATACTTTCATCAAGGAAAGGTCATAGTATAGTTGCCAAAGTTTAGTGGTGTTACTAGAAAATAGCCTTCGTACACTTAAGAGAAGGAGAAATAAAACGGTATGTGCATGTAGCCTTCAGGTAGACATAATTTTACTGAGAAGAAGGAGCAAACCAGTCCAGAGCCTCTGTCAACCATAATGATATATAGGCCTATACATGTAGGTAGGTCTGACAGAGAAGAAAGAGCAAACCACTCCAGAGCACCCGTCAACCTCCCACAGCAAAAAGTCTCCCAGCTATACAGTACTGTAAGCATTACATTATTGTGTAGGCCTAGTATAACAGTACTAGATGCTGACCAGCTATAGCTTTAATAATTAGCCACGACTAATGTATAATCTTATACTGTAACTGACCAGGGCAGTTCCACGGACAGTGAACCTGCATGAGTCACACACGTAGCTCGGGAGATGATGTCCGGCTGGAGAAACAATAAAATATAATATAGAATTGCAAAGTGATATCTGACATTTTTGGGCAGTTTAGATTTACTAAGACCAGGCCAGAAACCAAATGTTCTATCTGCCCTATCAAAATCGTAAGAATATTCGGAGTCGTTATCAAGAATCTTAAAGTATTGCATTCAGAAAAGCTTAACATGTTGTGAACCTCAGAATTTTTTAAAATGTCAAATTTCCCAAACTAGGTAGGCTATTGAGCAGATAGAACGTTGTGATTTTATGGTGGCGGCGTATTATAATTTTATATATATATATATA